GGAGGATTTCACTAAACTCCACAATCTCTTCCCACTAAGACTTACAGTCTTGGAAACTCAATAGAGGGTCCATAGAAAGTTGGAAGCAACTTAATCTTACTTTACTAGACTTAAAAGTACCAAAATGACCGCTTTTGAAACCAGTTTAAGTCGGACTCAACTGCTGAATCTGTTCGGTGCCCTCGAGTCAAGTATGACTCACAACCACAGATGTGAATCTCTCCTGTCCTGTGCCATCCTCACACTCCCTGACACACTAGGGCCCATTGAGGCAGTCACCGTGTCAGTCAGTCCACCTGGATGAGGCTCTTCCTCTCCTTTGCTGACCCTCCAGTGAGGGGTTTTCTTCTTGAAGACTTTAAGAACAGCCTTTCTAACAACATGCCCCAAATATGTGAGATGAAGCTTTATTATCTTTGCCTCCTCTGGTTTCACCTTCTCCAAAACATAGCTATTGTTCTGGCAATCCATGGGACTTCCAGTGCTCTTCTCTAACATCACAGTTCAAACACATCATTTTTTCTTCTGTCATCCTTATTCTCTGTCCAACTCTCAGACCCACAGCAAGTGACTGAAAAGATCATGGCCTAAATCAGGTGCCCTTTAGTCCTCAAACGAACATCACTGGTCCTCAATAATGTCGAGAGGTCCCTGACTGCAGACTCTCAGGGCACTAAGTCTCCTGATCTATTGCCTGCTGATACCAACACTCAATTAAGTACTCCAAAAAATTCAAACCTCTTGCCCCTGAATCAGTTCCGACCTATTGCACCTCTGCAGTACATTTCCAGAGTTGTAAATGTTTATAGGAGGAGACTGGCCATCCTCCTCCAGCAGAATAGCTGGGACATTTGAAAGTCTAACTTTGATTTAAAATATATCTACATTTCCACCTGACCAGCTTGTCCAAGTCAACATCATGCTAGTAATATTCACAGCAACCCAGCCATACAGCTGAGCCTAACTGAAGAAGTTTCAGAATAATCCATTTATTCACAGATAACTGGTGTCAGATTAAAACACATTTAAATAATGTTTATTTAGAGATACCACACTCTCTGTCCTCACAAAGCCCCAGCTCAGTAATGGAAACAGAGGAGAAAGTCAATGACCTAACAAGTCTCGCTGCAAGTGTGGCTCATTTCAGATGTGATACGACTAAAGTAGAACCAATCAAAGCCACTGTCACTGAGCCTATTCCAACTCAGGATGCCCCTTGTCAGGTTCCCAAAGCCAGGAATCTTCATGGGAGGAAACCGTCCTTCCTTCTCCCTCAGCAGCTCGTAGTTATGAACCACTGACCTTTTGGTTAACCGGCCTTTTGGTCAGCAGTAAAACACTGCACCACCAGAGCTCCTTGGTGAAAGAAAGTATGGGTGACACTAAAACTGTGTGTTGGTCTAGCTGGAAGAACTTCTAGAATCCTGGCAGGTTTTAATTCACCAAGAAAGCCATGTTTTCTTATTATTTAATGCAAATTATACTCTAGGGTCTCAGCACTTAAATCACCTGTGAGGGCCCCTGGAGGCAGCAAATGGTCCATCCCTGGGTGATGTTTATTAGTGACTCTCCTCTAGGTCACAGGTACCTTTTAGCAACTACAGCTGACCCCACAAAGATGCATGCATATGTGAGCAAACACACACGGACAAAAGCATGTACGTGCCTCACAGATGACTGCAGGAAACCATGGCCTTTCCCTGGGCGGAGACTGCACACACCCACAAACATTTTGCATGCCTTAGCTAAGGGCCCTCGGTTCAAGGCTGTCTGGCTTCTGGTGGGTCCTTCTGGAGCCTGCCTAAAAATCTAGCATTTCACAGTTCTCAAACAGTAAGCTGGTTACCTCTTTACGGCTCTGAGGTTATTACTTAACACCAACATGGATTAACACGTGGACCGTAACTGTGAGTCAAGAAACGGAGGCTTTAAAGTGAAGAGACACTAGGCCCCTAGCTGATCTCGTTTCACTTGCTTTAATCCTGCACTGCAGGCAAGGCCATCTCCTCCAGCAGCGACGGCTTTGCCAGTGCTTTTCCACACCAATAGCGGCACCATTCTCTCTTTCCTGGACTGTCACAAGCTCGAGAGAATGAACTCTGCTTTCCTTGTCAACACTGCCTCCAACCCTTCTGTGACACAGTCACCCGAAGCTTTTCTGACGTGTATGCACTCCTTGTGAAGAATTTATTCTCAAGACGGCTTTTCTAGCCTTTGAACTTGACTTTGCCATGCCAAGGGCATGTCAGCCCACCCACAAGACTGGCCAGTCTCACCGTTAGACTGAGTGGATCCAGTAGCAGAATCAAGAGAGCTTCCTCACCATTGAAGCAGCAGCAGCAGCAAGAAGAGAATGCAATTCATCCTACAGGACCAGAGTTAACAGCCAAAGCAGGCAAAGCAGAGGACCAGAGCACTAACATGTGATGGAGCTCCCTTGGGACTGCTATCCACCCCAGAAAGAACCAAAGCCAAACTAAGAGCTTTATCCAACTTTGCGGGACAACTGGGTGTGTGGGGAGGGTAAGCCAATATTGGCAGGACTGAGAATTCTGCAACACTAGTCTTAAGCCTCAAGGATGAAGTGCCTGTGAGCACATTTTGGATGCTGTCCTGAATGAATTTCGCCATTAACCTGGATTATAACCTGTTAACCTCCCCAATGTGGCTCTGTGAGGTCTGTGAGCTAGCCATCAGATTCTGGGTCCAGTAAAGCAGTAAGTTTGATGTAGAGATGAGTAGAGTTACGGGAGCTTGGAGGACATGTCTGACCTCATGGGAACTGGTTTTGTGTTGTTTATGCTACTGACGGGGGCAGTACCTCTTTGTGATGTTGGTCAAGGTCAGACATGGCCGTCCCCACATGGCCCTCGCTCTTTTTACAACCCCAAACTGAGATGAAATAGAAACAGTCTGTCCTCAAACATAAAGGGGCAGACAGGCAAGCATGTTAGTGATCACACACAAGAGAGCAGGATGTTATGACAGCTATGGAAGCATCATGGGAGCCAGGAAGACACCCGGTGCCAGCACGTGGACAGGAAAGGCACCCAGGAAGGTGCCGATCAGACAGCCACAACAGGTGTAAAGGCCCAGAAGGGGACAACTGTCAGCAGGTGGTCAGAAGAAAAGCCCAGAACTCCTGGAGACCAGATACTACAGAAACTAAAAGTCATGATTATGTTAGAAACCATATTCTACTGATTATCAGGGGACTAGATTGAAAACTCAAAACAGGAAGCTTTTGGACAAAGAGACAGAGAGAAAACAAACACACAAAAATATTCAAACTGCAGTTTAGGAGGTGTGCTTAGTGACTGGAGGTGGCAAAGAAGAGCGGGTCCTACGACGACACCCAAGCCTTCCCCTTCCGCTAAACTCAGAAAAGTGCAGCCTGGAGGAAGACGTGTTTTCTAACTCACGACTCACTAGTATGTTAAACTTTTCCAGTCCCTGTAGTAATAGTACCAATTGCTCTTGAATCCATTCAGACTCAAAGTGGCCCCAGGTACAACAGAGTAGAATGATGACATAGGATTGCCAGTGCTTGACTTTTGAGAATGAAATTGTGAGTCATTCTCCCAAAGGCCCACCTTCTGAGGCTGCTGTTGTTAGATACATTCAACTATGACTCACAGCCACCCCTACGTTGTTAGGTGTCACTGAGTCAAGTACAACCCACAGCTATGCCTATGAACAACAGATCTAAACCTTGCGCTATACTGCACCCTCCTCACCATTTCGGAACATTTAAAAAATTTTAAAAATCAATTTCAAGTTCTATTCCGAAATACAATGGGGTGAGTGATAAGATAATATCCCTGTGTTAACATGATTATTTTTTTATACAAATATACACCTAGAGCCAAATCTTGCATTCCAAAATCTACCAAATAGGAAATTAAGATGCATTAATGATAACTGGTGACTGGAATGCAAAAGTGGGAAACAGTGAAGAAAACTGTTGGAAAACATGGGCTTGGCGAGAGAAATAAGGCTGGAAATAGAATGACTAAATTATGTATTTACAATGATTTATTCATTGCAAATACTTTTTTAAAAAGAAACAAATGACAACTTTACCTATTGATCTCACCCGATGGGCTGCGTAGGAATCAGATTTGATTAAATTGTCAGGAAATCGTGGGAAAAGCTCAGTATCAGCTGTGAAAACTGGGCCGGGGCGAACTGTGGTTCAGATCATCAATTTCTCATATGCAAGTTCAAATTGAGTTCAAAGAAAATGAAAATCAGCCCACAGGAATCAAGATATGATTCTGAATCAGTTCCACCTGAATTTCATGGTTATCTTAAGAATAAGTTTGAGACACTGAACACCAATGATGGAAGACCAGATGAGTTGTGGGATGCTATCAATGACATCAACCATGAAGAAAGCTAAAGGTCATTACGAAAACAGAGGAGAAAGAAAAAACAGAAATGGATGTCAGAAGAGAATCTAAAGACTGCACTGGAGCCTCAAGAAGCCAAAACAAAAGGAAAACAGGTCAAAGTAAAAGAAATGAACAGAAGATTTCAAAGGGGAGCTCAGGAGGACAAAGCAAAGTATTATAATGGAATGTGCAGAAAGCTAGAATTGGGAATAAAAAGGGAAGAACTTGCTCTGCATTTCTTGAGCTAAAAGAACTGAAAAACAAATTTTAGCCTCCTGTCGCAATAGTAAAAGATGTTACAGGCAAGGTATTGAATGACCCAGAAAGCATCAAAAGAAGGTGGAGGAAATAGACAGAATCACTGTGCCAGAAAGAACTGAGCAACACTGAAAAAAATTTCAGGATACAGATCTTGGGCAAGATATTAAATAGGCCTACATGTACCAACTTGCAAAGTTACCTTAAAGAAAATGACACATTAAATAAAAAAAGCCAAGTTGTAGAATAATCCCTGGAGTAAGCAAGCCCTCATCACTCTTCTTAAACATGTGTGGGAAAAAAATGTCCCTGTCCATGTCCACCTAGAAAGATGAAGAGAGCACTTACCAGAAGGCAGAATCAGCTCCATCGTGTCATCATCGTATTCCACGTTCCTGTCAGAGGGAAACGCCTCAGCCTCCTCCGTGCTGTCCCCTTCCTTGTGATCAGGATAGCTACTCCTGTGAGGGTGAAATGGCAAAAACACAGGCTGACACCTTGAATATACTCAAATGTATCTGTACACATGGCAAACCCACAGCTATTCAAAAGTGGACCACCAGGTGGGAGGTCTTTAGGGAAAATGGAAGTGCAACTGTGATCACTCACCCAGGAAGGAAGCCCACATATAGAGGACAAGGAGAAGAGCAGAGAGGCAGGGATTCAGCCCCTGTCATGGAAACCATTATAAAACAGGTTCCAGAATGCTGCTGCCCCAGAGAACTTTCTGTGCTGAAGAAATCATTCTATACCAGCTTCTAAAGGTAAGGACTCTGAAGCTCTGTCTCATGTACTTTAGACATGCTGCCCAGAGAGACTGGTCCTTGACCTTGGAGAAGGACATCATAGTTGGAATAGTGGAGGGGCAGAGAGGACGACCTTGGAGAAGACGGATTGTCACAGTGACTAGGGCAATGAGGGCAAGTGTGCAGGAGTGAAACTGACTCAGAACAGGGCAGGGTTCAGAGCTCTTGTACATACAGGGTCACTACGAGCCACAGACGACTCAACAACAGGAGCACATAGCAACTGGGCACTGAAATGCAACTGAGGAATTTTATCTTTAATTAAATAACCTCATGGTTACACCTAGTGATTACTATTCTGGATGGTGCCTTTCTAGAAGAATCCGTGTTCCTACAACTGTTGACAAACTCAATATTCATGTACACACAGAAAATTATCAGAAAAAGCACACGAAATTTAAAGAGAGGAAATCCAAGAGAAAAACGAACTGAAAATTTGAACAGACGTTTCATATAAGATGTCCAAATGGCCAATTAACATATGAAAAAGTTCCAGATGCATTACTCATCAGCAGCATTGCAAACTAAAACTACAACCACCACACCCCCACCAAAATGGCTGAAATTAAAAAAGCTTTGAAATAGAGGCAGAACTTTCTATAAGTGTGGAGAGCCAGACTGGCAAACGATTTGATACTCTCTTCTAAACGGAACGTACGCATACCCTCTGGAGCAGTACTTGAGCATGATGCAGAATTGGGTAAGGTTTCGATCAACTCGACAGCACATAACAACAGGTGTACACCTCATACATCTGTGGGCATGTGTTCAGCAAAGCAGGACACAAGCATCGCCAAGGAGCATTATTTGTAAAAACCCCAAAATAGAAAGCAATCAAACATTCATCATCTGTACATTGTTGTAATCCACTCAATTAGTCCAGAATCACGAAAATGAATGATCTGAATGAAATGTAACTGTTGTTTGAAGTGGCTGAGTCAGTTCTGACTCACAGTGACCGTATATGACTTAAGGGTTTCCCGGGCTGTAATCTTTACGATAGCAGATCATTTTATGTGAGCAGGTTATTTTATGAGAGTAGGTCATTTTTCCTGAGAAACCAAGTGGTAGGTTTGAATCATTGACGTTCTGGTTAGCAGTCAAGCACTTAACCATAATGAAGCCAGATCCCAAAGAGCATATTTTAACAACAGGCAAAACTACGCTATGTGGTTTGAAGTGAGGATAGTGGTTCCTGGGGAGCCAAGAAGGGAGGAGCTGGGAGGACGGGCGGGGACACAGGAGGGGAACAGTAATGTGATTCTTGATCGAGGTGCTGTTTACCTCTCAAGAGCTCAGTTTAAGATTTTACAGAACTGCCTTATGGTCAAGCGCTCATATATACACTTGTCTATACATTTCTCAAGCACTGTATATCATATACAATGATCATCCGACTCAAACTGGCCAAAGCTGGTCCCTCTCATCTCACTAATGGCTAGTATGTCAATATTCATACATTCCATTTCACTTTTAACAATTTCTAGTTTTTCCACATTCAAGCTACATACATTCCATGTTCCAATTATTAAACGACGTTTGTTACTGTTTTTCCTCATTTCAACTGACATCCAATCAGGCCCTTCCATTATACCATTATAACAATCTTCATTCCTCTAGTGTACATAGAGTTTTCAAAGGCCTGTTATTTAAGAAGTAGATGGCCAATGCCGCTTCCTAGTCTGTCTTAATCAGAGAGAGCCACTAAAACCTGTCTACCATAACCCTTTGGCATGTGATACACCAGTGGCATAGCTTTCAGTATCACAGCAACCCCAAGTTATTTCAGTACAGCAAACTGACTGAGAAGTGCTGTGCCACTGAGAACAATGTTCTCCCCAAATACAATTAATACCGGGTCCCGACTGATTTAAACACAAGAGGCTTCCAGCCCACAGCTAATTGTTAACTAAATCAAACAGCAAATAAGCTTACACTTTATTGCTAAGAAAATAAAAAATGATCAAGTAATTTATACCTGACCTTCAATTAAATTAAAATAACCTACCCTCCAGAACCCAACTAACACAGGAGGTCCCAAAAAGAAACTTATTGCTGAAGACCAAGGAATACAGCCTTGATATGGATTCTACTTCAATGTCAAAAAAACCAAAGATTCTTACACTGGACCGAGCAACAGAGACTGAAACTGTGAACAGCTTCATCTTCTTAGATCCACATTTAACACCCTTTGTATTAGCAGTCAGGAAGTAAGGAGATGCACTGCACTAGGGAAATCTGCCATCAAGGGCCTCTCTGAATTACTGAGAAGTAATGATGTCAGTTTGAGGACTAAGGTGCGTCTGATTCAGACCATAGTCTTTGTGATTACTTGTTATGCATTTGAGAGCTGGACAATGCATGAGTATGAGACAGAAGAAGAATTGATGTCTCTGAGCTGCAGTGTTGGAGAAGGGTATTGAATATCCCATGGACTGTATAAAGAATGAACAGGTATGTCTTGGAGAAGGTACAACAAGAGTGATATTTGGAGACAAGAATGAAGAGTTTTGCCTCACATATTTCGGGCATGTTGCTAGGAGGGGCTATTCCTTGGAGAAGGACATGATGCTACGAAGGGTAGAGGGTCGGTGAAGGAGAGGAAGACCCTCAAACAGGAGGACTGACATGGTGACTACTGAAATGGGCTCATGTGTGTCAGCAAGTGTGGGGATGGCAAAGGACAGAGTTCAGATCTTTTGTTCACAGGATTGATATGAGTTGTTCTACATCTGATGGCACCTAACAACAACTATACATTTTTCTATTACTTGATAAAGTCTGAAGTCCTTGCTATCTACATAAAGCTGGAAAAGGCTCGACCTCTCATCATATACAAAATTCAACTCAAGGTGTGTCAGAGACCTACAGGTAAAAGTCCAAGCCATAAAAATCATAAAAGCCAAAATGGGACCAAGGTTAGGTGGTCTAGCCTGTTGTATAAAGAGACTGACAAATTTGGCCAGAAATGCACAATCAGAAGAGGATAAAATTGATGAATGGGACCTTCTAAAGAATAAATCCCTGTGTGCATCAAAAACTTTTCCCAATAGGGTGAAAATAAAACCTCCTGATTGGGAAAAAAACATTTGGCAATACCATCTCAGTCAAGGGTCTCATAACAAAAGTTTACAGAATATAAGGCTTCTATAAGAAAAAGACTGATAACCCAATTACCTACTGGGCAAAAGACACGGAAAGACTTTTCACAGAGGAATACATCCAGATGACCAACAGACACTTGAAGAAATGCTCTAAGTCACTGGCAATAAAAGAGATACAAATCAAAACAACAATGAGATACCATCTCACTCCCAAGTAGCAGTCGCAGAGTTTAACAGGACAGCAAGTAATAAACATTGGAAAGGATGTAGAGAGATTTGGACACTCACATACTGTTGGTGGGACTGTACATTGGTACAAGCACTCTGGAAGGCAATTCGGCATTTCCTCAAGAAGCTGATTATAGATATTCCATATGACCTAGCTACTGCCCTGTTAAGAACATACTCTAAGAACATTATAACTGAGACAAAAATGGAGATTCACACACCCATGTTCACAGCAGCATTAGTCACCATCACAAGAACATGGAAACAGCCCAAATGTCCAACCATAATCAAATGGATTGAAAAACTGTGGTACATTCATACTACGGACTACTACTCAGGAGTGACGATTTCAAAAAATACTGTAAAACTTAGGAGGGACTGAAAAGTTCATTATGCTATCGCTCGGCATAATGATCTAACTCAGTCTCAGAAGGACACATACTGTGTAAAACCATTACTGCAAAAACAGAAGTCTAACTAGTAAAATGGATATGGGGGATGGGTAAGAGCAGAGGGGTGAGAATAGGCAGGGGGGAATCACAGAGTTATACTATTTAATGAGTGAAGGGAGGGAGTAAAGGAAATGGGAAAGAACTGGCAGGGATCTGAAAAGATACAATGGTGGCCATAATTCAAAGAGCATTAATTTTATAAATCACAAAATATGGGAATGATTGATGGGAATGAAATATAATGTGAATGAAGGAAAATGTGAAACACCAGGTATACAAATTCTGTATGCAAACCAACATTAATTTTTTAAAAAAAAAAGATGGAAGGGATTTAGTCATCCATAAAAAAAGAAAAAAAAGTCTGAAGTCCAAAATCAGAAGTTAGCTAGTTACTAAAAAAGGGTGGAATTAGAGGCAATTTCTCTTTTTAAATTGATGTAATACACATAGAAGTGCTCAAAATAGTAGACAGCAGGCCAAGTAAACAATAAATGTCAGCTTTGCATGTGAGGGCTTTCTACCTTTCAAGTTTCCTGAACCTTACCAAGTTTTCCTAAGTGTAAAAATAATTTCATACTCGTGGTCAGCACCACTTTGGACAACTAGGTACAAGAACAAAGCTCTATAGGGTCCAACAAAGCATCACTTAAACATAGGGAAAGATACTAGTTTTATACTTTAATTCAGACCAATAGATGGATAAATACTCAATAAATAATATGTCATACATCAGTATGTAATGTGTCAAACGGCAGCAAGGGCTAAGAAAAACAAAGCCAAGCAGAAGGGACAGGGTGGGTTTACAAAGACAGTCAAGGAAGGCCACACTGGGGTGAAATTCACACCAATATTCAAGGAGTGAGGGCTGAGGCGTGTGAACATCTGAGGGACATGAATATAGAAAAAGATTCTGAAAAAACACAACTGATATGAGAATAGCCAGAAATCCAGCCAGAAACAGCTGGGTTGTATCATGCAGGGTATTAATGATCCTTAAAGGGACTTTGACATTGACACGGTAAAACGGAAAGCCATGTGAGAAGCATTTCACAGGAGCACTCGAGCTGAAGTGTTGAGAAGAAGATGCTGCGGGTAAGAAAGTAGGGAAAGGAGCCAAGGAAGAGAATGAATGCTTCAATAATTCAGTTGTTAATAGCACTGGAAGAGGTCAGATCTGGAGTCATCTGAAAGCAGATGTAATGGGACGTGGTAACAGAATTAATATAAGCCTGTAAGGAAATTGTCTGCAAAGTTTCTGGTTTAAATGACTGGAAGGACAGGGTTACCATTCACTAAGAAGTAGGCTGGGGTCTCAAAACTCAAACTCACGGCCGTCTAGTGTGAACTGACTCATTAACTAACCCTCCAGTGGGTTTTCAGAGGGTGTACATTGCAGGTGTGGAGACTGTCCGTTTCCCAATGAGCAGATGGTAGATTCAAACCACCTGCCTTTGGGTTAGCAGCACAACTTCTTATCCGCCAGGCTGTCAGAGCATGTGAACTTTACATTCTGCTCTAGACCCTCAAGTAGGGAACAGAAGATCTAAATCTGAAGCTGAGGGGAAGGGGATAGTAGAGATACAAATGTGGGGGTCACTGACACTGAGGAGACAGACTGGCTGAATGAAATCACAAAGAAAACGAGTGTGGAGAGAGGGAGAAAATGGAGCCCTGAAGCTCTACCAGACAGCTCCTGCTCACAGCCACTGGACCCAACAACCCCAGCCAGCCACTTGCTTTAACCAACTTATTTGACTACAGTAAATCCAGACAGTGCTAAGTACTGTGTCCAAAAAGAAACCTAAGAAGGATAAATATTTTTACTGGATGTATTGCATTAGGAAAGCCTGCTGCCGGGGCCTCTCCAAATTACTGAGGGCCAATGATGTCAGTTTAAAGAGTAAGGTACATTTGATTCAGGATATGATCTTTTCAACCCCTTGCTATGCATCTGAGAGCTGGAACATGAACAAGGATGTCTGGAGCTGTGATGCTGGAGAAGAGTACAGAATATTCCACAGACTACCAAAAGAACAAGCGGTTAGGTCTAGCAGAGTAAAGCGAGAGTCCTCCTTGGAGACAAAAATAGTGAAGCTTCATCTCACTATTTTGGGTATGTTGCTAGGACAGGTTATTCCTTAGAAAGGTAGAGGGGCCAGCCAAACAGTGCATGTTCATCAATGAGATGGGCAGACACGGTGACTGTAGCAATGGGCTCAAGTGTGTCACAGATGATAAGAGTGGCACAGGAGAGGACAGGGTTCAGATCAGATCTGTGTTCAGTGTTGCTGTAAGCTGTACTCGGCTACACCTAATAATAATAATCAGCTAGCAGAAGAGACTTTCCACCCAGTATCTACTCGGTGGTGGTCTCTACTTCTCCAATCCTAAATCTACTACTAATGCTAGGAAAACCACATATCCCTAATCTGCAAAACGACAATTTCATTTCCTACTGCAAACCACAGAGATACCTAAAATCATAGAAGTCTGCAAATTCCAGAGCCGCGTCACCGTCTGTGAAGAGCTTACAGTGGCTCTTGTCGTTCATGTGCGCCTGGACGGCCTCCGTGGAGTAGAAGGACTTCCCTTTCTCGTTGCACCACAGGCAAATCTTCCCAACGCCAACTTTCTCCCCTGGTCAAACGATACAGGGAAAAGTGTGAGGAAGGCTTTCAGCAGGCAGGTGAGGCCTCACCATTTCTCTCCACAGTTCAAAAGCATTCACCAAGCTTTTGATTTTCACAGAGTAAGAAGGCAATTCGCTCAAAGGCTGATTAAAACATAGAACAAACGCTGAGAAAGAGAACCATCATATTCCCTTAAGTTTCCTTTTCTCCTTAAAAATAAAACTACTATACTCACCCAAATACCTAATCAGTCCTTTAAGATCTGAAAGATATTCTATATCAGGAATAAAGAAGCTGTGGACTTTTGTCATATGAGCCACATTCTTCATCAGGGAGCAGGAATGATGAGAACAGAACAGGCAGTCAGTTACAGGGATGGCGCCGAGGGGTGGCTGCGTCTCAGCCCGTTCCTCCTCCTCCTCCTCCTCTTCTTCGGCATCTTCCATCTCCTCAGCATCCTCACACTCCAGTTCCTCATCAGAATCCAGATCTTCCCAATCTTTAACACAAAGAGTTGATAAAAACAAAGACAGCTTAGGAAACGTGGCAAACACAATCAAAGAGTTCACAAAGATTTATAAGGAACAATTCCCAAGACATTCCTTCATTACACTTTCCTTTCCATATCTGGGAAACTCCTTACAGAGTCTTTCTTCTTTCCTATACCAACTAGAGGGAGCTCTGGTAGCTTAGTGGTAAGGAGATGCACTGCCAACCCAAAAAGCAGCAGTTCAAATCCACTAAATGCTCCACAGGAGTAAGATGGGCAAGCTCCCGTCATGTGATTCACCGTCTATAAAAACCTGCTGGAGAGTCACTGAGTTGGATCTGACTTAATGGTACATAACAATATACCTCCTAGCACTTAACCCAGGGCTGAGCACACAGCTAAGTGGCCTCATATCTGAGTGGATGACAACTTTAAGAAAACTGGTAAAATCGCACCTGCATACATTTAAGAGGAACGTGGGAGTACTGGGTAGGGGAGGTGCTTTATGAACTCATACAGTATCAGTGAAAATGGGATCCAAGATGAATGAAACCAAACCTAAAACCAAGTCACTGCTACAGACTCAATTCTGACTTAATCAAGTGAACCACTCCAAGTGTCCTAGAATGTAAATGGTTGCATAAGCAGACTGCTGCAGCCTTCCATGGAACAGCTGGGAGGGTCAAGCCTTCGATAGCAACTTGAACCTGGCCCCTCTGGGGTCCCCTCAGGGGCTGCTGTCAACAGTCCATAGGAATGGGAGGCACACATTTCAGTGTGTGAGCTGACTGTGAGCTCTTCACTATTTTGAAAACCAAGTGCAAATCCATCGTTCCTGGAGATTCACTAACCGACCCCACTGTTGCAGCATCAGTTATGACACAAAGCAAACTCTGTGGCCGAGTGCTTTAGGGGTGTGCTGCCAACCACAACGCAGGTGGTTCAAATCCCCCAGCTGCTGAGTGGGATAAAGATAGATACTCGCTATGTAAATTACAGCCTCTGAAACCCACTGAAGGGTCAGTTGTGAGCAGGAGCTAAATCCACTGCCGGTAACAACACTATAGAAACATCATCTTTCCTAGGAGACCCAGCAGAGCAGGTGGAAGATACAGCCAGCTTTCCCACTGCTATGTACTGTCCACTCAGAACCGACCCACAGCTGACCCCCTCCAGCGGGTTTTCAGAAGCTGTGAATCACAAGGCCGGGAGCCCTGGCTGCTGACCTAGTGGTAAGGAGCTGACAGCCAACCTGAAGGCAGGCAGTTCGAACCTCCCAGCTGCTCTGCTGGGAGAAGGATGGGCCTTCAACCCCCCCTGTGATTTACTGCCCCTGAAGACCCACTGACGGGTCAGCCATGAATCGGATCCCACCGGGGGACACACAGCAAGTTCTCTCAATCATCTGGGGGCCAGGGTGACTGTCCATCCTTCTCCCCTGCACCTTCCCATTCGCAGGGTGCCCCTTAAAGCACTAGGATCACAAATCCCAACAGACAGAGGGTCCCCCTTGCTGGGCACCATCGAGTCACAGCCGACCCGCAGCTGACCCTCCTGTTGGGCTTTCAGGACGGCGGGAAGTCGCCCGCGAGGAGAATGCGCAGCCCCTGGCGGGGTGGCTGGAGGGACTCGAAGAGCGGACCCTCGTGTTGGCAGCTAAATGCCTTACTACAGGGCCACCAGGAAAATCAGGCCGGGTGCCAGTGGGGGAGGGTCATCGCCCTTAAGTGGGGGCCCCCAACGTATGTCGGGGTGGAAGGGCTTCCCCGAGTTTCCTACGGGAGACTTCCTGGCAGCAGCTCGCCAGGCCTTTCCTCCGCGGCGCCCCCCGGGAAGCCAGGCCTTTCCTTCGCGGCGCCACACCCCCCCCACCGGCAGCCAGGCCTTTCCTTCGCGGCGCCACAGCCCCCCCGGCAGCCAGGCCTTTCCTTCGCGGCGCCCCCGCCCCGGGGAGGTCTTTACCGTCTCCGTCCTCGTCCTCCTCGCCCTCGCTCTCCGCCCCGCGCTGCTTCGCCAGCTTCCTCGCCTGCTGCTCGAACCACTGCACCCGGGGCGGCTTGTCGGCGGGGTCCCGCTCGTGCGCCCCGCGGCCCTCGCCCACCGCCCTGGCCGCGTCCGCCGGTGCCGGGGGGACCTTCCGCGGCGACAGGGACGGCTGCGCCTTGATGGCCTGCTGGATGGCCGCGTTCATGGCATCCTTGTCCACGCTGTCGGCGCCCAGCCCCTTCTCCAGGTTCTTCTCGTTGAGCATCTCCACGCGCCGGCTCACCCTCTGCACCGCCTTCTTCTCCAGCTCCACATGCCGCCGGGACCGGAGGTGGTTGTCGTAGGCGTTGAACGAGGCGAACTTCTTGCTGCAGACGGTGCAGTAGGTGGCGGTGCCCTTGCTCTCCTGCTCCGCCACGGCCCGCTGCGCCAGCACGCGCTCCTGGAAGCCCTCGGCGGTGACCGGGGCCATATCGGCCACTTTCCGCCGCAGGTTATAGCGATGCCAGTCCGTCTTGTAGTGGGCCCGCTGCATCTCTGCGTCGCGGAACACCACTCGGCACGTGATACACGTGTACGCCGCCATGGCAGGGCGAGAAGTAAGCGGCGACCCTGCGAGAAACCTGGTGACCAGTGTCCCGTACAGCCGCTCACAAGAGAGCTCGCCTCCGCGGGCTCTCAAGCCTCAGCCCGAATCTACTTCCTGACACTGTCTGAGCGAACTTCCGGCATGAACCGGATATTAGTGGCAGCTGGGCAGGAAGTCCCGCCCCCGAGCCGTAGGCACGCCCCATAGAGGCTTGGCAGCTTGTAGCCAATCAAGAGCGGCAATTGTGCAATGTTTGTGACGTTTGACGTGATTGGGGCAGGCACTGTCCGAGAATCGTGGAAGTGGGCGGGGCAGCGGCGGCGCGGGGGCGGAGCTGCCTTAAGACTCACGGTCGCGCGGGGGCGGAGCTGCCTTAAGACTCACGGTCGAGGGGCTGTGACTGCGGCGGGTCTTTGAAGAGTCTGTAACTGGAACGTGAATTGGCTCCTGCTGGAGTGTCTTCGACCCCAGAGTCTGACCACCAGCTCGAGTTCGTGAGCCTCCGGAGTGAGGAGCGTGCCATCCGGGCGGAATTTGATCCCCGCCTCTGCCCTACTGAACTGTCCAAGCCACATATGCACTTGTTTTGTTTTTGTTTTGGGGTTTTTAAAAATATTTTAATTTATTTTTCATTTCAATGAACATCTATTTTTTTGGAATTCCATTCATTCATTGT